TCAGAGTGATGAAGAGCAAGAACCTACAACCAAGATTACTCTATCCTGCAAAGCTGTCACTTCGAATCGATGGCCATATAAAGAGTTTCCCAGACAAGGAAAAGCTAAAGGAGTTCATCACCACCAAACCATTATTATGTGAAATGTTGTAGGGTCTTCTTGAAGAAAAAGATAAAAAATATGAACATACAAAATGGCAATGAATACATATCTATCGACAATTGAATCTACAAACAAAATGAACAAGCAGAACAGAAACATTCTCATAGATACAGAGAACATTTTGTTGGTTGCCAGATGAGAGGGGGGGTTGGGGGAATGGGTAAAAAAGGTGAAGGGATTAAGAAGTACAAATTGGTTGTTAGACTGACAAACCTCAAAGGGAAGGGGGGTTGGGGGTGGGAAGAAATAAACCAAAGAGCTTATATGCATATATGCATAACCAATGGACACACACAACAGTGTGGGGAAAGGCAGGAGGGGGACAGAGTGAGGAGGAGGGGGTCAATAGGGGGAAAATGAGGAACATCTGTAATATATTCAACAATAAAGATAAGTTAAATGAAAACCTTTTTAGGAAAAAAAGAAAAATTAAATTGGGTTTACAAGTTCTCACTAATTTTATAGAGAGTCCTTTGCCCATTGTAAGGTTTGTTGTGAAACCCAGAGATGGGGACACATGACTGTTTTCAGCACACGTCATGGGGTGTTTGATTTAGTCCATTGCCCATGAATGTGTCATTTCTAGTCCACTGCCGTGCTAGGCACAAGACGACAGGCTCATGAGGTTCCTGCTTTCAGGCAGCTTACTTGTTTATTTGTGATGTGTCTGTCAAATGTTTTTTGAGTACTTATTACATGCCATGCACCTGGACACATGCTGGGGGTGGTACATCAATAAGGCAGACATGGCCGCTGCTCCCAGGCGCCTACACTCCAGTGCAGGTCACGGGAGAACGAGCAGCCCCACCACAGCCCACGTCTGGCAGAGGCTGTCTGGCTGCAGCCCGCGATGGCCTGGCCGCGGTCAGCGGAGCTGGTAGGAGAGGCATTCCACGGGGAGAGGACATGGAGTTCTAAGGAACTTGTAGACCATGGCATGGAGCATGGACTCTATTCTGAAAATATGGGAAATCTTTCAATGGTCCTAAGCCAGAGTGACCCAAATGTTTTTGTGTAAATGATTGTTTTGACTATTGTGTTGAGATTGGGCGAGGGAGGAGCACGACTGGAGGCAGCAGGCCCTTCTCAGAGCCACGGTGGGGAACCAGATCCTAGATGACCAGGACCTCAACTGCAGAAGTGGCAGTGGCTAGGGCTGTGTGTATTTGGCAGTCAGGGGGAGGGATCTCAGAACCTGTGAGGCCGAGCGATAGCCAACTAGATGTGGTCGCACAGGAGAGGAGGAGCCATTCTTGACCAACTGCTTGGAAGGTGGTGCGGTTCACCGGGACCGAGCCCACAGAAGGAGGGGCATGTGGGAAAAGGGAGCCAAAGCATTCAGTTTGGGATGAGTTGAGTTTGAGACGCCCAGGAGAGGGAGCCATGATGCAGACTCAGGACTTACCAACACCTTGATCAGATCCTCTTCACCTGGTGGTAAAGGGGGGCGGCGTTTCCCTGGACCTCTGTGGGCAACACAGAAGCTCTGCATCTCCTGACTGGCTTCACATGTGTGAGCTTAGTGTGCAGATTCTATTTCTTCTGGGAACAAAAACTGGTGCAGGTTCGCTTTACACTGCCTACCGCTCAAAGGCAGTTGAGGGCCACAGCGGACACTGAAGGGCCTCTGGGATAGGTGCCCAGGAGCGTCCCTGAGGCTGACCAAGCTGGTGCAGGAAGACACCATGCAGAAGAAGCTTCTGGAAATAAACAGGAGAATCCTGAGGGAGAGAGGGCCAGCGGAAAGGGTGTGCTCTACAGTCAGATGCCCCTGAGTGGGAACTAAGGCAGGGAAAATATCCATTGGCTTTTCAACAAGGAGGTTGTGGGTGATCTTTTTTTTTTAATCCTCACCTGAGGCTGTGTTGTGTTTTTTAATTGATTTGAGAGAAAAAGAGAGAGAGAGAAACATTGTTTGGTTGCCTCCCATATGTGCCAAGACCAGGGATTGAACCCACAACCTAGGTATGTGCCCCGACTAGGAATTGAATCTGCAACCTTGTGGCGTAGAGGACGATGCTCCCACCAGCTGAGCCCCCGGCCAGGGCTGTGAAGCTGTGACTAGCTGGAAAGAGTGAATGAGTGGGAGGTGAGAAGATGAGAAACAGATGGCAAGTGTAGGAAACCCGAGAAGAGTGTCAGAGGTCAGCGGGAAAGAAGACCAGAGTACAGGTGGCTGTTTCCCCCACACACACACCTTAAGAGAGATTTATGCCAATGAGTAAAAATGTTAAAAGCACAGAGTCTTAAGTAACAATCAGCTCAACCAAACGCACAGCAGCGTTCAAGCAAATCAGAAAGGTAGAGGGGAAGGTGTCTACAGTAGGCAGAAGAGACACCAGGGAAGAGTTATGAATTGTTGAGACTTGAATGATTAATAAGCTTTTGGACAGGTGAGGCTGAACCATTAAACATTCATCTATTCTTTTCACCTTTTGTTTTTCAAAAAATATTTTCTCAGTGAATATAAAGTCTTTGGAATGGAAATGGCCTCTAAATCAGAGAGTGACCACAAATATGAAAGTATTAAGTTACACATATCATCCAATTTGCAATTGCTACTTGCTCTTCTGGCCCTCACACATGAAACCAGCCTATTCTTTGGGGAGGGTCACACTGTTCGTGTCCTCATTTGGAATTTTTAACACCAGCGAGGGTGCTAAGTTAGTGAACGCTGGTGCTTCTATCACTTAGGTTTCTAACATCTTCCATATATATATAAACACATCCGTAAATAAAGGTGCTGATGCCGGAAGGAGAAAGAGCCTTTAATACACAGCTTAGCGCAAGGAACGCCCTGTGCATAGAGACTGACAAGACCCAGCTCCTAATTAAACACTGTTTCACTTCACCGAATGATTTTTGTCTTCTCTTTTGAAAAGACTGTATTAATGTTAATTTTTAAAGGTTCTGTTTACATGTCTAAATAGAATAGGTATTGATGAAATAGTAGCCTTTCAGCTTATTACCATTTATAACTATCCAGAGGGTAGGCTGTAGCTACAAGTATCACAAATTATAGCAGAGCCCTGAGGAAGCGGAGGCTCGATGGAGCCCAGGGAAGGTGAGTGGGTGCCCTCCGCTTCGGAGGCAAGACCTTCCCTTTCAGTTAGAGGGAGGCCGGCGGGGCTCAGTAAGTCTCAGCCACCCTTTGCTTCCTGCCGAAGCACGAGTCAGTGTTCCCAGCAGCTCATCGGGCACAGCAGAGAAACTGGATGTTACTGTGCAGACATTATAGAAACCAACATTCGTTGTTAAAGAATCTTATTTTTCTACCTAAGAAAGAATGTCATTACTTTTCCCAATTCGTGACATCTGCTGCAAGACAACAAAAGTAAAACACTGCTGTATTTCTTTGTCATTATGAAAACTGACTTCCTTTCTTTCTTTTTGTCCTGGATCCTGAAGGAGGCCAGACCTGTTTAAAACTGCTCAGGTGGCCCTGGCCAGTTTGGCTCAGCGGTTAGAGCATCGGCCTGCGGTCCGGAGAGACCCGGGTTCGGTTCCCGCTAAGGGCACGTACCTCGGTTGCAGTTTGTCCCCGGCCCTGGTCGGTTGTGTGGGTGGCAACCACTCGATGTGTCCCTTCACATCGATGTTTCTCTCTCTCTGTTCCTCTCTCTCTCTCCCACTCTATCTGAACAAATAATAAATAAATAAATAAATAAAATAAAATAAAACTGCTCAGGTGCATGCATGCACACACACACACATACACATGCGCACACTCACATACACACGTGCGCGCACACACGCACATGTGTGAACACATACACACGCGCATGCACACACACACACAATAACATGTTTAGGTTCTGACTGTGACAGTTCTTGGTCCTTGATCCCCAACCTGGGGTCCCGGTTCTCTGCTCTGTGTGACACATCCCTTCCTGTGTACCTTACTGACCTCTGGTTATAGTCATTCTGTCAACTGCGGTTCACTTCTCCAGAGGGTGAGGTCCGTGCTTGGAGTGTTATCATTTATAACCTGCTGCCTCAACAAATACCAAGTTGGCCTTTGCAGTTTCACAGTCGAAGACTTTGGATACGGGAATGTATTTGTGTGGAGACTGCACATCACGCTGTTGCCTCTCCTCCAGCACAGCTTTATGCTCAGGTGCCAAAGGCCAGGCCTTTGCTAATGACCTCACGTCACTGCCACGTGTAGGCTTCGATTTTCTAGGAAATATAAGCATCTTTCAGCTGAGCCATTTGACCCTTTTCTGAGGCAGCGTTATGATGACCGCATTTGCTGGGAGTGGGGAGTCTGAGGACTAACCACCCCGGCTGGTTAGAGGGTTCTGTGGGAAACGCTTCTGATTGGAGATGTCATCTTAGGAGTGAGAACAGCTGACTGAACCCCGGGGGGGGCTACAAAATAAATCGGAATAGCACATTGTCTCTACCGGTCTTTGTAAACAAAGGAGAATTGTCTTCTGGTTTCAGGGAGAACAGCACAGAGCACAATTCTTCCAACCCACACAAAGGTGCCGTAGACTTGCTGTCACAGAGAAACCTCTAGGAGTGGCCCTGCTTTGGGACAGCGGCTGGGACCTCTGATTTCAGAGCATGATCGTCTTCCGGGAGCTGCGGCCGGAGGGAACTGGCCCACTGGGATCACGTGGTCAGAGCGGGCTGTGAGGTCGGGCTTGTCAGAACCGCCCCAGCCCAGGGGCCGTGTTGGACAGCTTCAGGGCGGGGCTGCCAGGCCACCTCTGACCAGGTAGCGCTCCAGCCCTGCAGGGTGTGAGAGCCACACCCCGGGAGACAGGGGTGAAGCCTCAGTGGTCCCTCAGACCAGCTGACTGACAATGCACTCTTGTCTCTCCTCTGCCCAGGTGCAAATGTAACCTCCACGCCACTGTGTGTGTGTATGACAACAGCAAACTGACCTGTGAATGTGAGCACAACACTACAGGTCCAGACTGTGGGAAATGCAAGAAGAATTATCAGGGCCGACCTTGGAGCCCAGGCTCGTACCTCCCCATCCCCAAAGGCACTGCAAATACCTGTGAGTAACTCCCTCCTAACCCCGTCTTTTGTGCACGATGAGCGGCTGCCAGCTCCTCAATTTCACTTGCATTTGTGCTGTGACTCCTCTTACCAGGTGTCCCATTCCTCTCCGAAGTGCAGCTGGAGCTTTTGCCCGATTTTACCACTTTTCAGCATGTTTTAGCACTCGGATCAGCTGCTAAATTCAGTCTTGCAACGCTCACATCAAACGGGTTGGGAAATGATGGAAGTCAGAGGAGGAACTTTTTTTTCTTAGTGGATGAAACAGGTGTTTCCTTTCCTCCCCCACATTAGTTTCCTATGAAAATAACAAAGACATCCCAAACCCCCAACTCTAACTCCATTTGAACCATAAACAAGTTCCGGAAAGTCTCTAAATGTTTGCAGTCCCATTTCTCACACCGGCTAACCTGGGAGATGCTTTCTGCAGAAAGGTTTTCTCTCCGATTTTAGCCGCAGCTTAACTCTGTCCACTGAAATGATTGGCTTTTCCCAAGCCCAGGAGCTGAGACGGCAGGCCTGGGTTCTGCCGGTAGAGGAGCTTCAGATCAAGAGTGTGGCTGTAGGTGGGGGCCCACGGTGTCCGGTGACAGGAGCCCCAGCGTCCTCTGTGTTGACAGGGCCCGTGAGAGGTGCCCGTGGCCACTCGTGTGTGCCACGAACGCCCCGGGACACCCACAGAAAGACGCCCTCAAGGAGAGAAACATTACTTCCAGATCATTTGCCCAGTTCCACGGATAGACCGAAAGGCCAGGAGTTGCCCTCTTTCAAAAGTAGAGGAGGCACGAGGTTAGAATACCCCCACGCGCGTGACAAGAGACAGAAAGAGGATGACAACTGGGAAGCCCACCGGCGCCACGCGAGGCAGGAAATGTGGCCAGAACGTCAAAGCAGCGGCTCAAGAAACCAAAACCTAAAATCAGTACCACAGGCACCAGGACCTTATCAAGTTAAATGTAAGAGTAATGAACCGAGTAACAAGCTGTGAAGTGTGGGGGCCTGAAATTATGATACAATTTCTATGAAGAGGAGAAAAAAATATCCCTTACTGATTCGGTTTCTATCTGTGTTAAAGAAAAAATCGACAGTCTAGCTCCTAAAATTAGCACATAATGCTCTGTCGAGCAGAAATGTTGATTTTTTTTCCAAGGAGTTTTATTAAAAGCGACTCTCTGGGCTTTCCTCAGTTGTCGAGCCATAACTCATGAATTCAGAAGGACTCTCCGGAGGTTATTTGCTGTGCTGCCCTGTGGCCGGATATCTAAGAATCCCTATCGCCACGGTCGTCGAATTGAATTTAAAAGTTTCCTACAGTGAAAATGGTTCTGATTTCATTTTCAGTGTCTGCCGCTGCTTCAGAGAGACAGGACGGAAGAAAGTGAAGGTCACCAACACTGGCTGGCATTCTGGCTGGTCCTCAGGGTAAGGCCACCAGAAGGGCAGCTGGGTGGGCTGCCGCTGAAGGCGCTGACTTCCGCTCCAGCCTGACCCCGTTCTGCCCCCTGGACTGTGCTCCTCAGCCTTGTTTAATTCAAGACGTTTGCACTGGAAAAGCTCCTTGTGCCAGCCAAGCTTTTTATTGAAACAAACTTCTTGCTACATCCTCCGTGGAAGTGACTTGCATACCCCTAACCTTGTGATTATTGCGGAACAACAGTCCACTCCCTGGCCAAAGGAACGCACCTCCTTCCGTTTTCCTGGTGGATTCCATTGTCCATCCATCTCTTAGGTTTTTACCGTCCTTTTCTAAACTGTTCGAGTTCCCCCATCTCTGTTAAAACAGGAAGATGGCAGATGGACACAGTGGCCAAGGAGGCTCAAGTCAATGTTCCAATTCTCAGTATGGTGGAAATGAGATTAAAGATTGCAGAGATTATCTGCGATGGTCCAGTCTTGCAATGGAAAAGTCTTAAAATGGAACCAGCCCCTTAAACTAAATGTCTGCCATGTCAGACTGGGCTTTAAAATGTTCAAGGATGAAAATAAGCAATTCAGTGGTTTAGCAGAGAACCGAATAAGCTAATGCACGTAATGTGTTTGGCATAACACCTGTCACAAAATAAGTATTCAAAAATAAATTTATCTTTTGGTTTCTTTTCATGAGGCACACTTGTCCCTTATTGGAGAACAGTTTTTATTGCCATAAAACTTATTTTTTAACATCAATATTGAGTATCTCTTAATTTCCAACCATGTTTTTCTTTTTAAATAGAGAAAGAACTACATTGACCACAGTTCCTTTCCTTGTCTGGATTTACATCATTAATCCTCTTTCCACGTGATGAGATTTCCATGTCTCTCACCTGGTTGCTTGCCTCCGGAAGTCCTCTCATGTTTTTGTGGGGAAGTTTAAGTCAAGCACAGGACTTGTAGCACTATGATGATTCTCGTTTTCTATTGGCTTTTTCTCATATGCGTGCATACATGAGCTCGCACACCATGCACACGTGCAACTCCACCTGGTGAATTACCGGTTCATTATTTAAGAGGGACTACTTAGATGAGGGCATATCCTAATTCAAACACGTAAAACCTGAATAGTAAAGATGAAATGGTTGCATCCTCTGATCCCTCACCATCAACTCCTCAGTGACTTAGAGATGACACCCACACTGGATAATCTCTGGATTTAGCAGCATCTCAAGCAGCCAGGATAATTTCTGAATAGAAAGGCCAGTTTCTGCCCACTCAGCAAAATAACTAAGAGGCTTTTATTAAACCAGGAAATGATAAAATCTCCCTTCAGAGACACTCAACCCATCACTCGGAGGTTCCGTAAACTAGGACCTTGCTGGGAACCCTGTGGCTGGGAAGTCCTGAATGCCCACGTGACGCCAAGGCCACTTCGGTGGGGAACATGTATAGCCAGGAGAGAAGTGTGCAGAGCCCTGCTCTCTAAATCAGCCCCCCCGTCTTCGCGACACATCAGTCCCCTGTGCTTCTCACTACAGTGGACTCCACAGAGGCACAAGTGACCAGGTGGTGGTAGTGTTTGTATTCATCACGCTTTTATTCAAGACCCGGTGTGTCTCAAAATGTTTTCCTTATTTCCTTACAAAAATACATAGACATTATGTTTTATCTGTAAGACATCTCTCTTCATTTCCCTGTTGATCTCCCTGCTATTCCTGGTAGAAGTCCATTTTGAATGTCCTTCCAATGCTATTTCTGTCTTCCCAGTAAACTGCAGCTCCGTCCCACTCTGTGCTTGGCCACAATGTTCCTGCTTCTCATTGTTCACCTCATGGTTGAAAGTGTTAAGTAACACCTCTTTAATTTCTGAGCCCTGTGGAATCACACACGATATTTTTCTTTCTTTTTTTTTTTCTTATCCTCACTGGAGGACATTTTTCCATTTTCCGTTCAGGTAGAGTGGGAGGGAGAGAGAGGAACAGAGAGAGAGAGAGAAACATCGACATGAAAGGGACACATCGAGTGGCTGCCACCCGCACGACCAACAAGGGCCAGGGACAAACCGCAACCCAGGTACGCCCCCCTAGCGGTAACCGAACCCAGGTCTCTCCGGACCACAGGCCAACGCTCTAACCGCTGAGCCAAACCGGCCAGGGCTACACACGATATTTTTCTACATAGAGATGCTGAGCACTTAATAATCAACCGTTAGGAACTGTAACTCCAGGAAGGATAATATAATATTATCTATACCTCTGCTTTCTAAACTGTTCTATGACCTCTAAAAGAATTTCATGGCCAAGAAAATTTTTAAAATGCTATACACTATGCTAACTCTTAGATATTCACATTACCTTATTTAAAAAATTGGAGAAGGCTATAGTAAAGTAATCTATTGTACCCAGTGTTCCCCAAACTTTATTGTTCATGGAACACTTAATGACTTTCTATAAGGCACTCTTTGGGGGACACGCTGTTCTAAACAATTTCTTCAGCCTGCTGACAGAAATGTCATGGAGGCAGATAGAAAAACCCAGCCAGTTCAGCTGTGTTTAATCTTTCACTTTCCTTCTACCTACACGCTCTAATATTCTTCCAAGAAAGAAAATTAAATTGGTCTGACATTGACATTATTTGTTCGTTCAGAAATCCAACTTGAATTGTTGCACAATAGCCAGGGCTCCTCTGAGTGATAGAAAGTAATTTGAGGGTTGTTCTGTTGTTTTCTCTAGTATTACATTTGCATTGATCAATTTATATTTTCCCAGGTGAAGGTGTGTGTGTTGTTAACCAGACAATTTCCAAAGTGCTCTAAGGGCATTAGTTCATTCTTAACTCAGAAAAACCTTATCAGGAAAATGCTACTGTTTTCATGCTGTAGACGTGGAATCTGATGACCAGGGAGGGGCAGAAACCTTTGAGGTTTACGTAGTGAGTCAGCGTCAGGTGGAGGATTTCAACCCAGCTGTGTCTTGACTCCCTCTTGCTTCTCAGGTGACTTCAGTGACTTCCTCTGGCCTCCACTGGGGCGTGGGCTCCATGGCAACGCTGTTCTCCGGCTTCTCTTCCTGGATCTCTTCTTGTTGTCTCTGCCCTCAAAGACTCCCCTTCTGCCCTTGCTGTGCATCTCCAGGCACACCTCCTGACCTTCTCATCCCTTCTGTACCCGGGTTTTAGTTCCTGGTACTACTGGTTTAACAGTAATCTACCCACTATAGCCTGGATTTCTCTAATGAATCCAATTTTCCAGCTATGAGGATCTCAAAGTCAACATGCTAGATACTAAATTCACTTCTTTCTCTTTGCTCCATATTGAAATTCTGCTCATTTTCAACACTGCTCCTCAGAAAAGCCTGCCCAGGTTCTCCCATGCAAAATCAATCGCTCTTTTCTCTCTGATTCTTGGCAATGTATGTGCACTTACAATTGATTATCTATAACCAAGATTCTAATAATATTGATAATAATGACAGTCAATATTGATTAAGCTTGCCATGGACTTTTACAGTTTGTGAAGTGCTTTGAGTGCTTTCTTGCATTAGATCCTTACTACTTCCCCCCGTTACAAATTGGGAGGCACAAGCA